TGGGGAATTCTGGGAGTTGAAGTCCACACGTCTTCAAGTCGCCAAGGTTGAGAAACACTGCTCTGTGGTGACTGCTTATAAGCTTTGCTCTGGTGTGCTCAGCAGAGGCAGTATTTCAGCTACAAAAATGAAACATGTACTAATCATGAATGACCGTAATGTCCTAGCCATCCGGAGAACTCTTATTGCTCCAGAACATCAGGGAAGTGCAATCATATTTAGTGTCTGTTTGGCTTGGTTTTCCTTCCGACGCTCAACTGCAGATGGAAGCGCTGGGACTGAGAAAGAGGCTGATTTGTTGAAGGGGCCAAATTAGGCACAGCGCAGAGCTTCTGCAGAAGCCATATTGGGGCCACAACGTCATCCTTATTGAGTCAAGGGCAGCTCCTGGAGACTTCACGGACCTCCCCCACCCCACCTGTCTATAAAATTGGCTTAAATCCCCATAACCCTGATGGTTCCCTTCACTCCCTTAGTTAAGCTCAACTCTTCCTTGTCGTTTGCAAAAGAGGGGTGCATTCTATACTAACATCAAAGTTACACTTTCAAAATCATTGACAAACATGCATTGTAAAATAATGCCTCCACTGAGTTCATGCTTACCGCTAGTGGACGTTTGCAGACAGAAAATTAGGTTGAAGAAACACAACTGCGGTGCTACTGGTTGCCAAGTGGGGTAGCCTTTTATTTCTCCTACAGTCATGAGAAACGTGCCTGAAACTCAAGTTCTAAAGCACAATGGATAGTCTACTGTATTCTTTATAGCTGCAGTTTGGAAAGCTATTGACCTCTGTCCACTCACACCTAACCTTCTCCCCTGTAGGGCCTCTGAAAAAATTCACTCTAAAAGGTTCCAGGAGATGGCTAAGTGTTGAGACACTGCCCCACAGCATTGGTGCTGCAGTACTGTAGAAAGCACCACTTTCTAGGCTCTGTCCCCTTTACCCCTCGACAGTGAGGAAACCACGAGCAGCTTCTCCTGGAAGGACTTCTTTGGACAGATTGACCTGGCTAGACTAGGCAGCCCCAGCCATGCAGGACAGCCCAGCCATTTGAGGTTGTATAAATAAGAACCAGGCCTTGGATTTGAAGATTGGGCATTAGCGTGTTTCAATACCACTGGAGAGAGCAGAGCTCCTGCAGGTGGATCAGGGCCTCGGTGGCCTTCTTTTTTTGCAGGAACCAAAGTGGCAAGAGATTCACAGTCTGAACTTATAGAGAGTAAGGAAGGTGGCCTTGACAGAGATATGCAGGAACGGATACCTAGGCAAAAGAGGCTGAAACACTTTTTAAGCCCTGAGAAATGAGATAATACTCAGATATGGCCCAAGCAGATGCCTCCCTAATTTACTGAAGTATAAGAAGGAGGAGGAGGTCCAGCACAATCAGACTTGCAAGATTCTGTTGTTCTGGCCCATCTCAATCAAGTGTGGTTCTGGTCTTCCTGTAGAGTTGGTTTTCTGCTCTGGTCACCCTACATGTAGAGAGTAAGGAAGATGACCTTGAGGGAGATATGCCAGCTCCATCACCAAAGCGATGAGGGCTAAAACATATCTTGTGGACTTAAGATGGCATTTGTAAGCAGATGAGACAGACACTTTCCTAATTCAGTGAACTACAAGGAGGGGGAGGAGGTCCAGCACAATCAGGCTTCCAAGATTCTGCTATTATAACCAATCTCCATCAGAGAAGTTTTAGCCTCCCTGGGAGTTGATTTCCTGATCTGGTCTACCCAGTGGGGTTGACAGTACCCATTGTGTACAGAAGACAGCAGGGTGGGCTTCCCGCTGTCGTTTGAAAGGAATTGCAGAGACACGGCTGCAAAAGGTCTTTTGCTCTTCTAAGACCCTACAAGCAACTGCTGGTGGGGGACGAGAGGACTGGGCTGGTTGGATACAACACAACTTTGCAGTTGATTTGCAAGTCACAACAGAAGAGCGTAAATAGCATCATCAGCCAGAGGAAACCCCTTTACCCTGTGAATCGGAGGGCCTTCTCCTCCTCCTTTTAAGCAAACAGGAGGATACCTTGATCCTTCTCCAGTTCCTACTGGCATCCCCACCAACAGGTCCGGCTCCCTGGCCTTCCCCAACGGGCTACCATTCCTGAACAGCTGAGTCCCACAGAGTTGTTTGCCCGGCTCTCTCCCACTGCCCTGGTGCATCGATCGATCACTGCTGTGGAAAGCTCGCAGCAGCAGCAGCAAGAGAGCTGGGATCCCCCTTGGCTTCCCTCCTTCCCGAAGAAGAGATCTGTGCAGCAAAAAGGAAATTTGGCACCTCCTTCCCAATGCCACCCCCCACCCCCACCCCACGGGATGGTAGCCCCTTTTGCTTTTGCTCCCGCCCCTCGAGAAAGCATTGTTTTCTTAAATTATACATTTCGCTTTTTAGCATCTTTTCTTAAACTTCTGCCGGTTTGTGGATGGACTCATGGAGCTT